CACCTGCCACGTGAAGAACTCTTCTTTGCTTCCCCCCCATGCCTCCATCCCAGGGGCGAGGTGTGGAAGAACACGAGGGTATTACATGGAGAAAGGCAAACGGGAAAACTCAATTTCCTTCTGCTTTCTCAGGACGGGATTCCATTTCTCGCAGTGCCCGAGAGGACTGCCAAGGCCTCCCCGGCAGGGCTCTGAGGACACCGGGAAGGGGGCCAGGCTGGGCTGGTGGCAAGAGCGGGCAAAAGGAAATGCTGGGCTTTCCAAGAAGTGCCAGGCAAGGCTGTTGGAAAAATGGAAACCATGGCCATGCCCCACGGGCTGTGAAGCCCCTTTGGCTGGGAGGGAGGGCTCCACCATCCCACACTCGCGCTCTTGCGAGGGCCAGGAGCTTTAAGGCCAACAGCCCTTCCTTCTCTCCAAGGCCACTCCTTAGCATGTTCTACCCAGCTCACTTGGCGTTACTTGTGTGACTCCTCTGGTGACTCTGGCGTATCAGCTATCTCTGTGTCCCCTGTGAAGCATGGCGTACCTGGCCTGAGTCTCCGTCACAGACTAAATTTGACCATTAAGCCTCAGCTAAAAGGTCTAAAGGGACAGAAGAGATAAATATGGGGCCATTCTGCCCCCCCGTGACATGGGCTACGTGGGTGAGTCCCAGCCACTGTATCCTTTCTGCTGCCGAGTGGAGGAGGGCTGTAACCAGGGTCCTCAGTCCCCATCCCCAACAGAGCTCTAGATGAGATGAGATGAGACCTCTGAGCTCAGCGCAGCCAGACTCAAGATGCTCCTGCCCCGCCTCACCTCGGCCAGGCAGGTAGGGCGGCACTTAGCTTTCGCCTCAGCAGCTTGAGGCCGTCGAGAGCTTCCCCACATTCTTTAAACAGTCACCCGACTGGGAGCCATCTGTGCTACGATTTTAAACACAAAACCTTTTCTTTGATTATGACCAGCTGTTTAAGTGTTCTGACCATAAAAACCGGAGCACACGGCCAACGCTCACAGGCTGATTCGTTTACAACACACTGGACCAATTGATCCTGTCACTTGCACTGCACAGCACACCCTCGGCTGTGGGCTGCGAGACCATCCTCCTTTCCTCTTACTGTCTGAGAAAGGCCTCCTCATCCTACCTGCACAGCGGGGTCTTCCCAAGCCTCACCCTAGAGCCGTTCCTGGCTTTCCAAAGTAGCTCCGTCTTCCCCCGAACAAGTCCGATCTTTTAAGCTGCAGGCAAGGAGCAACCTGTCTCTCATCAGTGGCCTGTCTCTTCATCACAGAAGGGCTGAGGGGAAGGCTGTTAGTCCTGTATTAAGAGGGGGAGAGGCTACCGACAGTTGCTGGCTTAGAAGACTGCTCAACTCAGGGCCAAAGAGTCAGAAACACTGCTCAAATTAAGGAGTGGCCTGCAGGAGTTTGCAGGCTACCTCCGAGGTAAAACGATTTCCTAAGAGCAGCCACTTGAACCCAAAGCCAGGAGTTTGAATGCTCAACCAACTGCTGGACTGGGGCACTCATCCTTTTCCCTAAAGCCAGGCATTGTGGTGCACGCACACCTTCAATTCCAGCACTTGGGAGTCGGAGGCAGATGAATCACTGCGTTTGAGGCCAGCCTGGTCTACAGAACAAGTTCCAGGACAGAAAAACCGAAATAAATAGAATAGAGGTCTTTTCCAGTGTTGTTGAAGTCTAATAAGAAGTCAGGTAAGAACAAGGGCTGGGGCTGACAATTGGTCCTTTGTAAGTGACAGAAGGCCTGGGCTGAGCAAATGACTGGCCACTAGGGAAGGGAAAAGCGATGACTTACCTTCTAGAGGGCCCCTCACCAGGGCTTTTTCCTCCCCAGTGTAGGCCCTCTGGCCTGTGAGAGAACAGTCTTCCCACTGGGCTCTCCAACCTAGGGCATATGCCATGTTCTAAAACACGCTAAGACTCCCTGAACCACACTGTACGGAAGCTGTAAGGCACAGGAGTGACTCTTAAAGCGTCACGTCAGACAGCCAAACTCACAGGACTACCTGACTTCACTCAGGAGTGAACCAAATACCACAAATGAAAAGGGGCCAGGTGGACCCCCAGTCTACACTGCGGGGTAGAAGCATCAAGTCCCTCCCAAACTCACAGCCATGGCCACAACACAGAGCTGTGGACAACGGGGAAGGGGACCTAGGGGCCACAGCACAGAACACCCTCAGGTGGCAGTCAACCTGTCCTAATGCCGTAAAGTGACATGGAAAACAGCTACCCGGACATGGGGGTCTGCTCCTGGACACTCTAGATAATAGGGTGCTCACCAGTGGGCTACCACATACAGAGGAGACAGGCCCCACCCCAGAGGGTGGGCACAAGTACCTTTGGAAAGAGCTAAGTGGCTTCCCTGTTCCTCTGGCACGGACAGGCTGCACCGCTCTGCCTGCCCAGCACCCCCCTACCCCTCTTGTCAAGAAGACGACTGTTTTTCTTAATCTCAGATGGAAGTATTGTCAATTACAGCTGACTCCCCTTTTTCTTTCTTTCTTTCTTTTTTTTTTTTTTTGGTTTTCCAAGATAGGGTTTCTCTGTATAGCCCGGGCTGTCCTGGCACTCATTCTGTAGACTAGGCTGGCCTCGAACTCAGAAATCTGCCTGCCTCTGCCTCCCAAGTGTTGGGATCAAAGGCGTGCGCCACCACTGCCCAGCCAACTCCCCTTTTTCTTTAGGTTTTCTTCCTCTTCAATTCTAAACCTTATCTCAACCAGGAAATCCTCAGAGTATACTCCAAAAATTGTTAAATCAACAAACTGCAACAAAACCCACACTGCTTAGCTGAGTGTGGTCCCACGGGCCTTTCATCCAAGCACTCTGGGGGCCGAGGCAGGTACTTTGTGAGCTGAAGACCATCCTGGTCTACATAGTGACCAGAACAAGCAAGGCTAGCTACTCAGTGAGATCTTATCTCAAAACAAAACAAAACCACACCACAGTGCTTCTTCAGGCCTTTCTGTGACCTGAGATGGGGACATAGCTCGGGCTGGGCTCTTTTGAAAATGAAGACGGGACTCTCACAAAGATGTGGACCAGAGTGGGGCACATGTGAGCAGTGCCTGTAGGACAGGGGAGGATGCGGAAGGGGCAAGCCCATCTCTGAGCTGCAGAGCCAGCCTCCAGTGAGAAGCGCACCAGAGAGAAAGGGGCAGGGGAGCGGGTCAGCTGTATGCTTCCCCTGTGAACTGGCTTCTCAGCAACAAGCCCAGAGGCCGCCAGGCCAACTCCCAACCCACATACATCTCTGCCACCAAGAAGCCTTGCTATGCAGCTCCACGTACAAACCACTGACCCACTCCCGGGGAAGTGACTCACCCTGCTCGCTGCAGCCGCCCCCGGGAAGCAGGACCACCAACAGGCTCCTGTCTGCATGTGCTCTGCAGCACAAGGCCCAGGATGGGAGTCCTCTGTGCCAATTCTAGGCTTGCAGAGGCCTCTTGGATGGCGACACTCCCACAGGTCTCATCCAGCTGAGGGCTCGGCCAGGTAGGGCAAGTTGGGCAAGGGAGGGAGGGAGCCTCTTTATACAGTACTGACAGGGCTGTTGATTTGCTGTCCAGCCCTGCGCTTGTCTGAGAAGACCGAGGCTCAGGGCTCGTGTTTCAGTGGCTGCAACACGTCTGATTCATATTCTTTTTCTTTTGTTTGTTTTTTTTTGAGACAAGGTTTCTCTGTGGAGCCCTGGCTGTCCTGGAACTCACTCTGTAGACCAGGCTGGCCTCGAACTCAGAAATCCACCTGCCTCTGCCTCCCAAGTGCTGGGATTAAAGGTATGCGCCACCACTGCCCGGCCTGATTCATATTCTTTCTTGTTCTGCCTCCCTCTCTTAAAGGCTATGGAGCCCAGGCTACTCTTAAATGGCAGCTATCCTCCTGCCTCAGCCCTCCAAGTGTTGAGATTATTAGCATTACTCTAGAATTAAACTATGCCCTGCTTCTTGCTTGTTCTCAATCACACAAAAAGGTCACATGACCTCACTGCAATTTCTATAACTACAGACCAACAAAAAGGGATACATTATCTTTTTCTACCCAGAGTAGGGTGGACTCTAATGGGCATTTCTGCAGGGACAGGATGGGACAGGATCTAGGATATGCACATTTACTGTGAGCCAGTTCCCATCAGGCTGGGGAGAAGCATGGGAATATTAGGGGGACTTGACATCCACGACAGAGTCTGGGCTCGGGCGAGTTTGGTTTTTTTAATTTCTTGTTCTTTCTACTTTCTTCACTGTGTCGTTCAACACTGAGGCTCTGACCAATCTATCACAAAAGAACTCTAACTATGCCAGCAACAGCCGCCAGCATGCTGACCGTGCCAAGGAGGAAAAACACCAGCCCCACTCCTCAGGGCGCAGGAAAACTGTCGGCGGACTCTCGACCTGTTCAGAGCTGGCTTCTGTTAGCTGAACTGGTCCAATCTCTGTGGCTAACTCCTCTAACAGGCCACTGAGGCCACTGAAGAGAATTTGGTTTACTTTACTGATCCAGTGATGCCAACAACAGTCAAAACTGGCCTTAATGTGGGCACAGTCAGGCATCCCTACAGCTTCCTTCACTGGGCAGGGCAGCTTCCCGGCACAGCTCCCTTAGGCTGCACAGCTGAGGGAGAGCTGACCCAGAAGACTGTGGTTTGGGATTATTTCCTCTGTTTGTGTGGACGGGACTTCAGGATGCTCTGAACCAGGCAATAAGAAACAGAGCTTTGGTCCACCAGTGGGACCTGTGACAAGCAAGCCCGCCTCTGAACTCAAATCTCACTGGGCCACTACCTCTGGAGGCCACTCCTGTCCTGAGGTCTGAGTATCCCTCGACACCCCTCCCACACACACTGAGTTGAAATCTGTTTCAACACTGAGGTACAAATGCAAATCAGATACATGTAAAACTTTGAGTCTACCGGTTGATACCAGGAAGTGTTGACTGTCGATAGCATGCGTCACCACATACAGTCCATATGTGGAACAAAGAGAAAAAGCTTTTCAAAGTTTGAGTATTTATTAGTTTTTAAATAAAGAGAAGTGCTATTTTAATTTCACATCTTGGCTACGTTTCAACATAGGCAACACCACAGAGTCCCGAGATTCCATTCTAAGCCAGGCTACCTCTCGCCCCCTTGCTCAAGGCCTTCCCAGCACCCTTTACTTCCCGACTAAACACCACAGCTGGCAGATGAGTTCGGCACAAAACCTCCATAAAATACCACCGGAGTCTGCAGCAAGCTAGGTCCCCAATGGGCCCCTCTCACACCTGGCGGACAGAACGCCGATGCTTGCTCGGGGCGCTCTTGGTCAGCCCTTGGCACACACATACATGCTCACACACCTTCCCCCATGTATTTCTCAGGACCTCGGTGGGGCCTCTCAGCACGGCGACAGAGCTATACAGGATGGCTGCAGAGCAGCAGAGCATGGGGCCATATCCAGGTCAGCGTGGTGTAAGGCATACAAGGGTAAGAGAGGCCATGTCAGCAATAAGTAGCATTATAGAAAGAATTCCCAGCCAGCAGGACAGACGTGGTGCCTGATGGTCCAGCCTCTAAGACAGTGACGGGGTCCAGTTCAAAGCCTGCTGTGAGCCTATCGGGCAGAATGCAATGCCTATCACTGTTTTTCCAGGCTTGGTAACAGAAAAGAAAACAGGTTCTCTTCTGTTTTCCTTGGCATGGGAATAGCCTAGAGAGGGCCAGGGTCCCAGGAGCGAGAGGAAGGTGGCTAGGCTCGACATGGCCGGGAACAGAGCACAGAGAAGCCCGCCAAGTTACTAGCGTTAAACAAACATGAAGAGGGAGGGAGGGAGGGAGGGAGGGAGGGGCTTAAACTAGAAGTATCTGGAAAAAAACAAAAAGAAAGAAAAAAAAACCCAAAACTTGGAAAACAGTTAGGATCCTCTTCCTAAGCCACTTATTTGCACTTCACACGTCAGGATACAGTGTGTAGACAGAGGCGTCCTGAGGGCGTGTGGCCAACCTACAGGACTCAACAGCACATTACAGGACAGATTTTTAGAAAGTTTCATCACACATGGATGTCTTTTAATGGAAAAACAAAAAATCAGAGGAAATATCTGGCCAGGCTGGGATGAGACAAACGGGAACACTTCAGAACCCAAGGAGGAGAGGGAGGTGCCCTCTCTGAGGGCAGGGTGAGCGGGAGGAGCGGGCATGCAGGAAAGTACTCGAGAGTTACAGCCCCACCCTCAGGAAGAGAAGAGTTCCCACCATGCCACACCCACCCGCCTCGCGCCACAGCCCACAGCAGCACCTCGGTGTGCCCTCTCTACCGCCCGCCCGCCATGCCTGGGGGAAAGAGGCCGTGAGGGTGAGGGTGTGAGGAGAGCCACACTTCAGTCTGCCTTCCACTCTCAGGCTCTTACAGACGTCTGCAATCATCTTATGCCTGACATGGAGCTGGAGTAGGTGGTGGGCACCACAGGGGTGCCGTTGTTGGCGGAGTAGCCTTGCCTCAAGGCCTCGAAGTAGGACGCCTGCACAGGCTTGTGGCACTGCAGTACCCGGATGGCGTCGTCTATCTTAAACCACTCTCTCTTCCTTCCTGTGGGGGCAAGGGAAGAGGTGAGCACAGGCTGGGAGCGGCGGGCACAGCTCGGAGGGGGAGGCAGGCTTCAGGCAGCGGTGCCTGTGACCCCTGAACTCTGGAGGATCAGGAGCTGAAGGTCATCCTTGGTTACTACTCAGGGAACCCAAGGCCAGCCTGGGCTACATGAGAGCCTACCTCCATCTGTCCCGAAGCACCATTCTCAGTACTTTTCCTTCCTTACAAATGTAAAGCCCGCACAGGCCTGCGGAGCCCACTGCAGGAGGCGGCTGTCTGAGCTGCACGGAGGCTGTGCCAGCACGTACTCCTCTGCAGGCAGCCTCTCCAGGGCTCGGAGCCCGCCCGTCAGCCACATCCCCAAGGAGGGTTCATCGTCCTCATCTTTAGGCAGACATCAGCCAGCACCGGCTGCCGGGACCACCATGATGAGTGACATAATCTGCTATCTCACTCCCTCAACTAAAATCCTGTGTAAGTGATGGATCGGCACAGAAGCAAAGATGGCTGGCGAGCCCGGTCCAGTCTCTGAAGCCTCGTAAAACTCAAGACAGCTGACGACTGCAGAGCGGCTCCCTGGGTGCACGGTGAGCCGTACCCACCCACACGCACATCATCCCAGGTCCATGGTGAGCCGTGGGCGGCTGCACCACCCACATGCACATACAGCACATGTGCTAATTCAGAAAAAAGAAAATTACAAAACCAAAACACTACGCAACCTAACAAATTGTCATTCTGAGTCTACCTTATTTTTTGTTTTGCATTTCTGAGAAAGTTTTATTGGTTTTTTAGATAAAATTTATTTTCCAGGAAGGATGATCCCATCATACTTCCGCTGGAACCGGCGCATGGCCTCCTTTTTGCTGATCCTGTGTTTGGCCCCAGTGCAGCCTGTTCTGCGCTTCTTGTCTGCGATGCTGAAACCTGGCCTACCCAGCACCACATAGAAGTCCAGGCCGTAGATGCCAATGCTTGGGTCGTGTTTGATGCCCAGGTCAATGTGTTCCTGAATTCCAAAACCAAAGTTTCCAGTATCTGAGAAGTTATTTTTCTGTAACTCATACTCCCGCACCTTCAGGCCTTTCTCCAGAATCTCCTCGGCCTTGGCTCCGTGGACTGTGCAGTGAACAGCAATCTTCTCATTTCTCCGGATGCCAGAGAACCTGACAGTGTATCTAGCTTTGGAAAACACAGGGGTCTGGCCTGTGAGCTGCTCCAACACCTTGGCTGTCCGGGTCAGTCTGTCTCCGCTCTCCCCCACACAGATGTTGAGGCAGAGTTTGCGGACGTGAAGTTCCCGCATGGGGTTCTCCTTCTCACCCTGATTTTGCGCCATGGTGCAGAACAGGAAGCCTGAGTCTACTTTTATTAAAGTTAATGTTTTGTCTTATTTGAGACATAGTCTATGTAGACCAGGCTGGCCTTGAACTCACAGAGGTCCTCCTGCCTCTGCCTCCAGACTGCTAGTACTAAAGGTGGATGCTACCACAACTGGCTTGGTTTTCTTGTACAGACTTTCTTTCTGGCTCTGTGGGCAGTAAATACAACTGTGTCAGGCTGGAGCAGCAGAGCCAGCCTGAGCTCAGCGGCTGGACACTAGTCTGAGGTGGGAGGCCTGGCTTCTCCTCCAACAGTGAGAGAAGCAGATAAGATACAGCCAGTGCGGCCAGAGCTGGGCCATGGAGTCGGTGTGCTGCACTCCAGGCGTTCCTCCGGCTTCGCGACCTGGGGAGCCTTGGGCAGGTTACGGACTCCTCCGTCCTCCATTTTCCTCACATGCAAGATGGATAGTAAGTAGGACTTACTTCCTAATCTGTTAAAGACTAATGAGAGCCTGCTTTTCTTCTCTCTCTCCAGGCTTACGCGTCTTACGCGTCTTACATGTCTTACGTGTCTAAGTGTTTGTCTGTGAATGTGTGTAGACCACATGTGCACCTGGTGCACACAAAGTCCAGAAGAGGGAGTCAGATCTGGACCTGAAGCCACAGAGGGCTGTGAGCTACTACTTGGGTACTGGGAGTCTGACCTGGGTCCTTTAAAGAGTAGATACTGTTAACCTCTGAGCCAGCTCGACAGCCCCATGGGTTACATGTTTTTGACTGTAGTTGGTTCTTTTAAATTTTATATTGTTTCTTATATAAGTTTCTATATTATAAAATAAAACTTGGGGATGAATGGCGGCTCAGGGCTTCTGGCCACCCTTCCAGAAGAACAGAGTCCTTCTGGTGGCCCACATGATGGCGCACATCTCTCCTTAACTATGGTTCCAGGACATCTCTTCTAGTTCTGAGGGCAGTGAGCTCGTATGTGGTACACAGACATACATAAAAGTACAACATCCATAGACATAAAATGGGGTGGGGACTGACCTAATAGGTCCCTAGCCATGCATCCATGGATTAGGACATGCTGGCATTTAACCATTTCCTGTCAAGGGCGCTAACAGCCTGCAATGTCAGCAACTAGAAACAATGGCCTGCTTTTTGTGTGTGTGTGGTTTGTTCGAGACAGGGTTTCTCTGTGTAGCCCTGGCTGTCCTGGAACTCACTCTGTAGACCAGACTGGCCTTGAACTTAGAAATCCACCTGCCTCTGCCTCCCAAGTGCTGGGATTAAAGGCGTGCGCCACCACTGCCTGGCAATGGCATACTTCTTAATTCACACCTATCTCAACACATGTGTCTATACAGAGACAGGTTGTGTGTGTGGAGATGGAGCCTGGGCCTTTTGTTTGGTGGGCAAATGTTCTAGCACCAAGCTGAATTCTCAGTCCCTAGGAAAAGAACTTAATCTTGCCGTTGTCTTTAACTCCAGGAGAGCATGCAGCGCATGAGGACACCCTAGGAAGCGTGGGCCTCGGGGAGCTCTGCTGCCGCTGTACTGTGTGCCAGCATGGCATGGCCAGCCTTGTCTACAGCACTGGGAAGAGCGCCCAGGACGGCTCCACATCAGCCAGCGCAGACAACAGCACTCGCTGACCTAACGTCCTGTCGGTGACACTGTCCTTTCTTTCCTCAGACAGGACAGATGGGGGTGAGCCACCTCACCCACTGTCCACCTCACACTCTGTCTCCACCCCTCTGCAGCTCTAGCTGCTTCCCACCTACTGCACACAGCACCATGAAGGCGGCGTGCCTCCGCCTGCCGGTGACTTATACGAGACCCATGTCACTGGCATAGCAATGGGAGGCTGTGTGGATGGCGCACGCTGTGCCTCCAGCACTGCGAGGCTGGTGTGTGGGTGGAGCACTCTGTGCCTCCAGCACTGCGAGGCTGGTGTGTGGGTGGAGCACTCTGTGCCTCCAGCACTGCGAGGCTGGTGTGTGGGTGGAGCACTCTGTGCCTCCAGCACTGCGAGGCCAGAACGCCAGGAGTGAGTGCCGTACTCAGATGCCTTCGCTGGAGTTAACACTGAGTAACACTGACAAGCAAGGAAAAGGCTGCTCTGCATACAAACAAGCAATGCCACCTTAAAAACTGTGGGGCTGGAGAGATGGCTCAGAGGTTAAGAGCACTGGTAGCTTTTCCAGAAGTCCTGAGTTCAGTTCCCAGCAACCACATGGCAGCTCACAGCTGTCTTCAATCCAGTTCCAGGGGACCTGACAGCTTCACACAGACTTACATCCAGGCAAAGCACCAATGCACATGAAATTAAGAAAGCAAAACCAAAACCAACCTGGGTGTGGCCCCTGCTAGGCTCCTGCAAGGACAGCTATAAAGCACAACCAACTTGGTCTCCTTTTCAAGCCCCACACACTATACTGATGTCTTGAAATTTTTTTGTGGTGCTGGGGACAGAATCCAGGGCCTGGCACAATCTAAGCAGGGCCCCCACCTCTCCACAGCCCAGCCCAGTGGTGTGAACGAGAGCTAAGACACAGACCGCATCCTGCTCTCATCTTTGGTCCAATGGCTAGAGTGGACCAGCATGGCAGATCCTGAGGTCAGCATCTGTTCAAGAGGTACAGCAGGATAGCCCCTTTGGGGAGGACCCGATTTCATGTTAGAGACATTTCTGATTGTTCAGGGACGTACTTCCACTCCAGCCACTTGCAGCCTCGGCTTCACTGGAGACACCAGAAATTCTGAAGTCAGCGTCAGGGTGTGTTCTGTGTTCCTCCACACAACACACACATATCTCGTCTGGGCAGAGCCTGGGCATGACCCCGGGCCCCGTGCTCACTTACCGATGTTCACGGAGTCCTCCCAGTCTTCCAGCACCTCTGTGACGATCAGCACGTACACATACGTCCTGTGCTTCCTCTCCTGGTTCTGGAGCGCACAGAAAGAACAGAGAGGTCCTCCTTAATGAGGGGTGCTCCTCAGTGAGAGTGTTCCCCAGGGAGAGTGCTCCTCAGTGGGCTGTGATGCTTACAGAAGCACTGCTGTACACTCCAGAAAGTCAGGACATATGATGCCCTCTGCTTCTGCTGTTCTTTCCAAGAGGGTTCCACCAGAACAGAGGGCACACTTTGGATAGATTTCAGTATTTTTTATTTTATTTCATGTATGTGAACACACTGTCGCTGTCTTCAGACACACCAGAAGAGGGCATGAGACCCCATTACAGATGGTTGTGAGCCACCATGTGGTTGCTGGGAATTGAACTCAGGACCTCAGGAAGAGCAGTCAGTGCTCTTAACCACTGAGCCATCTCTCCAGGCCCCCTCATTTTTTTTTTAATTATGTTTTTTTTGGGTGTGTGTACACACCCATGAAGGCTGGAAGGTGTCTAATCTTCTGGAGCAGGACTCTGGGATTAAAGGTGTGTGCCGCCATGCCCCGCCCTCTCAATGACTGGGCCGCCTGTCTAGCTGAGCCCACTCCTCAGGCCCAAGCTTTACACTCCCTTCCTTCTTCCCCTAACTAGGGCTGCACAGTGATAGCGGCTGACTGGGGAAAAGGGGTGCACAGACTGTGGGTGCACAGGGCCAACAGCTGAGTGAGGCCTGCGCCCTCGCTCCTGACTGACCCGCAGCCCCGCTGTTCCCTTTCTTCCTGGAACCTCCTCTTATGCCTAGCCGCCCCGTCTCCGCTCCTCTACCCCTCTTCTCACTGGAAGAGCAGGAGGAAACGGCAGCAAGGCAAACGGCAGCAAGGGAAACAACACGCTGTACACGCCTGGGGCCTGGGTCAACTCCAGAACCCATGGAAGGAGAAGCTGGGCACAGAAGGTAAGCCTGTAACCATTGGGGAGGTGGAAGCAGGGGGATTGCTGGGACTCAAGCTAGACTATCTGGTGAGCTCCAGGCCAGTGAGAAGCCCTTTCTCAAAAACCAAAGTAGACAGCACCTAAGGAATGACATATGAAGTTGTTCTCAGGTCTCCAGACATGTACACACAGGCATCCACACAAACACAAAAGAGCAATGAAAAGCAGAGAATCTAGTCTGCTCAGCCGCCTGTCTGTCTGCTCGGCCGCCTGTCCTGACATTCAGTGAGACCTGAGGCCCCTTCCCAGGACAGGAAAACATTGTTATTAACGACTTTCAGAACAAAGGCGTTAGCAGACTTACCTCAAAAATTCCAACTAGTCTTCCCAGCGTCCCTTTTACTCCAGCCTGAAAGAGGGAGACAGAAGCATGAGCACAGGACAGTACTCGTCACTTACAAGTGTTCTGCAGTCTTGTATGTAAGGGTGAGGGCGTTGGAGACATGCCTCAGCACGGAGCAGCACTTCTGCCTTTCCAGAAGACCTGCATTTGGAGCCCAGCACCCGTGTCAGGCGACTCACAACTGCCTGGAACTCTAGCAGATCTGACATCCTCTCCGGGCTCCATGGGCAACTCCCACCCCCCAAAAAGCACAACAAAGCCCATGAGTATGCGGCTCGGGAGGACTCGGGCCTGTGGGCTCGCACACCTACATTTCCTGCACGCACACCGAGTGGTCATAGGAAGACATGCTGGAGCAGAGTGCCTCATGTCTCTCTCACTACAGAAAAACTTGACACACAATAAGGTGACATACGAAGGCCAACAAAACTACACCAAAAACCTTGTGCTATTTCGTTTATTTATTCACGCAGCACAAATATTTGAGTGCTGAAGGCCCCGGTGCCCAGGCAGGGGCACGACTGCAGTCCATGCCAGCAAGAGTCTTCACTGACATGTCTCTGGCTGTCTGTGTGGCAAACAGTGAGCCAACGGAACCATCACCATCCAGGTCTTCTGGTGACAGATGTCACTGAGCAATGGAGAGAGTGTATCACCGGTGGCTGTTTCCACGTTCTTAGTACATATTCTTCATGCCTAAGGCCCTTCTGATGGCTGCTGAGCCTTTGGGCTCGTGGGCGATGAACGTCTCAGTCCGCCCCAGGTCACTGGCCTTCCCTCGTCAGGAGCAGTCGTCACTGCTGGCTGCTCTTCTCATCCCAGTTTCTCTGGGTTACCCTGGTTTCCACACATCTCTCTCCTTCTTTAAAGTTATTTAATTCACTTAAATGTTAATTTACGTCTACATGGTGTGTGTGTGTGTGTACACCCAGGGACGCAGAAAGAGGACAGGAAAATCAAGACGCCGTGAGTCACACAACACGGGTGCGGGGAACCTAACTCAGGCGCTCTGGAAGAAGCGTGTTCTTTTAACTGTTGAGCCAGCTTCCAGGAATGTTGTCTAAAATTCCTAAGAAAGTCAAAAGACTGATGTAAAAGACTAGATTTCAACCTGGCAGTGATCCTGTGTGCCTTTAATCCAGCACTTAGAAGGCAGAGGCAGATCTCCGTGAGTCTGAGGCCAGCCTGGTCTACAGAGTGAGTTCCTGGACAGTCAGGGCTACACAGAGAAACCCTGTCTCAAAAAAATAAAATAAACCAATCAAAACAAACCAAAAGGACTAGATGTAAGGGGGTGGCTCTGATGCTCTCTTTGATCAGAAATCTGTGCTTACTGATGATGAAGGTCCTCACCC